GCACATACAGCAAAACAACTACAAAGAGGATGTGTTAAAAAGCGGTCAGAGAAAAGAAAGATACTTACAAAGAACAATCTGACTTGTGCAATACTGGTTTGCTGAAGAAGAGAAGGAGGCCTCCAGCATAACTACTCTGAATCCTGCTAGGGCTCTGGGTTTCAGGCAATCAATCCTGGTCAGCCATGAGGTTTGAACCCGTCACCTAATCATACCAGAGAAAGTGCTAGTGCTTCCCTTACCATGAACAAGAGATGCAACAACTCCTGCTCCTGCCTTGCCACTTCACACAGACACAGACATCCCTCAAGCAAGCCAGTGGGGAGGCAGGACAACTCACAGCCACAGATGATAAGCTCCACAGCGGGGAGCCAAGATTCCACCATAGCACAGCACAACCCTACTGCATGCTGGCCTTTCATCACTCTGTGTGGACAAGATTTCTCCTGGAGTCTAAAGAGCTTTTCTCTGTGTTACCCCTCACCTAACCCTTCTTCACCAAGTCTCTAGTGTATTCCCTAGCCACTTGCCTTCATTGGCACAATCTTCAAAACACTAACTGACACATCTGGCAAGACTGACTTTCAAAACATGGGCAAAATAGGGATATGTTCAAACAGACAAAAACAAAGGCAGCTCCTCATCATCAGAACCTGATCACAGAGGATAGTCAAGAAAGAAAAAATAATTTCATAAGAAATATATGACACATAAGAAGGAATGTAGAACAAAGACAATGGTAAATATATACACAAAACTACACAAGGACTAACTAGAAAAACACGACTAATATATACATTTGAAATTTTGATAAAAAATTAGACAATACTAGACTATAAGGATGGGACAAAAGCAGTTAGTTATTCCAAGGTGCTTACATTGTTAGAGAGAAAGTAAAGAAAATGAATAGCATCAGATCTTAAATTAAATGTTAAAATTTCAAGGATAAGCACCAGAAAAAGAGAAATAAGTATATAACTTCCAGGGATAACTAAAAAAGAGCAAGGGGACTTTATTTAATCCAAAGGAGGAAAGAGGAAAGAGACAAAGTGAAATAATAAAATAAAATATAATAAATAACAATATATCCAAATATATTTGCAATAATATAAATGGACCAGTTTATTAAGACAAAAATTATCAAGATGAATTATAAAAAGTTTAATAAGAACACAGAAAAGTTAAAAGCAAAAACTTGAAAATTCTATGTAATGCAAATAACTTGAAAGAAAGCTGACACAGCCTTATTAATAACAGACAAAACAGAAAAAAGTCATTACTAGAAGAGATCATTATATGTTCATAAAAAATTTACCTTATCAAGATGATAACAATTCTATGCTATCCATAAAATACAAGTCAAAAAATAAATACCAGGGCAGGGAGTACAGATCAGGGGTAGAACACTTGACTGGCATGTGCCTGTGTGCAATCCCCCCCAACACACACACACACACAGATGAATAAATAAAAATAAATAACAAAAAGATAATTTTCAAAACTCTATAAGTTAGAAGTGTTAAGATAAATTTCTAAGTAAGTAGTGGGTAAAAAGTGAAATCACAATGGTTGGCATCTCAAACAAACCAAGTGCTAAATTCCTTAAGTGGCTATTCCTGTTTTACATCACATTTTAAAGCTATTTTTAGTGAAAGTCATGTAGCAAACACTCCAAAGCCACTTATGGGTTGATAAGGACATTAATTTGAGGTAATAAAGGAGTAAGAGGGAGAGAGGCTAATGGGCATTGTCGGTAAAGCCAATCTAAATTCTAAGCTAATCAAAGTATGTGCAATATGTATATCCTCTCCCAATGTTTTTTCATGTGAGAAAAATGAATCCTATTTCTTTAAGTTAAGTAGATTCCTGACTAATTGAGTGCTAATTCTGTATTTTTCCTCCTTTTGCAAAACCAGGCATATCCACACATATTAGGAGTAGAATGATCTATCTTAGAAATAAAAGATTAAACAGTCCAGTAACAACTACAGGTGTAGTTGCTTCGGAACTTCACAAGATTAAACAAGAGTATAACAAACAAGAATATATAAACTTTGCCTCTCAACAAGTGTTTTTAATGTAGTGAACACACTCAACTGATTCAGCAAACATGGAGTAAAAGAAATTTAATACCAACATAACCAAGATAATTATATAGTGTCACATGAGGTAACATTGAAGTCTCAGAAATACCTATAAAACTATTAATGTAAGGTATAGCCACCCAACAGAGAATCAGGATCACTAATACTGTAACCCAAAATGACGATTTATAAACCACAGCTAAGCCATTTGTCTCTGACATTATAGAAAGAAAACTGACCCTCCCTTGGAAGGAACACTACCTCAACTATCTAATTTCTCCATCACCCAATGAAAATAACTGTAGTCCTGCTGCTGCAACTGCTACAACTAGATGTGACATCAAAAAGGTATATGCTTAACAATTAGTCTACTTCCAAATCTTAAAATAGAAATAAATAGAAGGACTTTGTAGAGTATCCTCATAGGCTAACCCACTGACCACATCTGCCATTCCCAATAATTCCAAGGAATATATGTGAATTGTCTTGTGAAATTTTATTTACTTTCATCAACATCTGCTCCAAATATTTTAAATAACCAGTAAACTCAATATGGTTCCTGCTATCTAAATCTTAACCAGGACACTACTGTACTTAATTTGAAAGGCCAAGAGTCTTATTTCTAATCATGAACATTATTGAAGCTTTTCTTTATAAGCACCACCAACAAACAGCACTGTTCTGTGGTTATTCAAACCAGAAGTCTGAGAGCAGAACTATCATGTTTAGCACATAAAAATACAGGATGTCCAGTTAAATCTGAATTTCAGATAAACATACTTATGAAAAATAACTGTAAAAGTATATCCTAAACATCACATGGGACACATTTACACTACATATTATTATTTATCTGAAATTCAAATTTAACAGCGTGTCTTACATTGTATCTGACAACCGAGTTTGAGATTCTTTCTCTAGACCCTCTTACATGCAATACCATACCAAGACCTGTTAACTTTACCTCATAAAAACATGCAGAATTCATCCACTTCTCTCCATTTCTTTTGCTATCACTGTTGTCTAAACCACCAATGCAAGAATCTCCTAGCTTCTCTGCTTCTACTTTTTAGAAAATACAACTCGTTCTAAATGTAGCAGCAACTTAAGAGTAAGAGAAATAAATGCTAACTTAAATTTTGCTTTGTCTGGGATCATTATTTGATGGCTGTAGAGATCTAAAAGCCCTAACTCAGTGAGATAATAGCCAAGTAGATTCCAAGGAGGAGATGGAAAACAGAACCCCAAGTTTTCCAAGGAAAGTATCATTTCTCTTGGGCTTACCCAAGTCAATCACTCATCTCAATCTTGTTAATTTGTTTACTGTTGCAAAGCCATAAACCAAGAAAAATCTACACAGAAGTGGTAAATTTAGGGCTCCATAAAGTTGAAAATATTATTGTCTTTTGGGAGTAATTCTAAGATTTGTGAACAAATTGCTTGACTCTAGTCCACACCTCAGGGTCCAACAGATTTCTGTAATTCAGTTTCATATTCTATGGACAACACCCTACTCACAACTAACCTTAGGCCTTAGACTATGGTTGCAAAGTCATGGGCAGAGCATTAAAGAATGTGGGCAGTCAGTAAGTAGAAATGGCACCAATATTTTCTGATTAGTGATGCTTAGGAATGGTTGATACCTCCTTGATGATAAACAAATGTTTGGTTGTGAGAAACTCTTGGTTCTGTTAGCCTGTCAAAACATTTCATTAATGGACATTAACAAAGCAGTTTACACATACAAATTCAAGAGCAGGTTTTCCTGTGATGCAGAGCTGAATAAATTAACGAAATTATTTCCATCAAAATAACAAAACAGTTTTTGCTGTATATTAAAGAAGCCACAGAACTGTTAATAACTACTAGTTTGCAGAACATGAGCGCAATTCAAGTGTTCCAAAGTTCTCAAAAATATTAATGTGCTTGTTCACCTGTTTAATACAATCACCAACACGTCTTAACAAGCTGTTGGGACTACAGAAAGTAACCCCATTCACGCTGAGGAGGGAAATGAAATTTCAGAATGGAACACCTGGCCAGACCAACGGATACCAGTTTGGATGAAAGGGGTCCTGTAACAACTAACTACAGGTGTAGTTGCTTCGGAACTACACGAGATTAAAGTCTGCACTTGTGTTTGCACTACGATCTGCTTTGTTGGCTTCCACTGAGACAACCTGACAGGCGGTCAGCACTATCAGACAGATGACTGTAGCTCACAAACCCAAACTGCGTTTGTAAAATGACTTAGCCCGCATTCCTGCTGCCGTCTGGATGGGACCAGAGACCTGACTATCTGCGCGTGTTTGGGTCTCCAGAAATGCACTGGGAAGGCCACGCGGGGCCGAAGTCTGGTTCCTTAAGAGAGACTTCCCTACGGGACTGAATCAGCACCCGAATGGGCACTGCTGCGAGACCACTCCAGCTCGCACTGGCTGTGGGACGTGGGCGACAATGACTGTCGGCCACGCGCTCCAAATGCAAAGCCTTGACTGACGGGATCCCACAGTGGGAACGCACTTGCCAGCCGCCCTGCCGGTTCCAGGACGACCTGGGCGCTGTCAGAACCAGGCCTTCCCCGCGCGGCGCTTCAGGGCGGTCGGGACGGTCGCTGGCCGGAACCGGTCCTGCAAGTGGCCTGCTTAGCCCCCGGCGACCGAGGGCGTTTGGGGGGCGTCGGGTGCTCGAGCCCGCCACCCACCCTCCGCCGCCAGCCCCGGGCCCCGGGTCGGAGCGGTGTCTGCGCTCGACCGCGCGGCCTTCCGGGTGCGCCGGGCCGGCCCTCGGGGCCCCGCCGCCGCCCTGATCGCGCCGGGCCCCAGTCCTCGTGCGGCCTGGGAGCCCGGCCCCCATGCCGCTCGCTCCCTCCCGCGGGTCTGGGCCGCCTCCGCGCTCCCCCAGCCGCGCGCGCACCTCTCCTTGGAGTAGAGCTGCCGCTGCTGCTCCTGCCTCTTCTTCCGGATAAACGCCATGGAGGGCCGCGCGGGCGGGCGCGGGGCGCCGCAGGCCCCGCTGCCGCCCGCCGAGCAGTGCCGAGCCTCGGCAGGCGGACGGGCGCACGGGAGCGGCGTGGTGGGGCCGGCCGGGAGCGCGCGGATGCGGGCCTGGCTGAGCAGGGGACCGCGCGCTGGGCGGCGAAGAGCCGGACGCTGCGCCCCAGCCCGCGGCGTCCCGGCCGCGCTCACCGCAGCATCCTCGCGTGGGGACTCGGCGGCGCCGTGACTCAGGTCCGGAGGAGGGGCGCGCGCTGACCCGAGGCGCCCCGAGCTCCGGCCGCCCAGGGCGGGAGGCCGCACCAGCTTGTCCCGCACGCTAACCAGCGTGACCTGCAGGCAAAGCTACATGTCAGACCTTTTACCCAGGAAACCAACCCAGGCTTGCCTGGAAAGAACCAATTTGGTGGCCGCAGTGTGGTGAAACAACAGCGTTGAAATAATTGACATCCCTTTATCTTTTTATAACAACTTTGATGAGCTATAACTCAAAAACCAATTCACCCATTTAAAGTGGATCAGTGTTTTTTACTAATGTTCACACGTAAGTGCAACAATCGCCACATTTTTAGAACATTTTCATCATCTGAAAAAGAAACCTGTACTCTAGCTATCACAACCCCAAACTGCCACTCCCCTGCCCTAGCCAACACTAATCAACTTTCTGTCTATGAATTTGCCTAGGCTGGACATTTCAAATATATGGTCTGGCTTCTTTCATACAGCATAATGCTTTCAAGGTTCATCCAAGCTGTAGTATGAATCAGTATTTCATTCCTTTTCGTTGCTGGAATGTTTTCCATTGTATGAATATGCTCTATTTACTTTATATTTTCAGTCAGTGGTGGGCATGTTAGAGGTTTCCACCGGTAGGCTATTAGGAATTATGTAGCATTCATGTACCAGTTTTTGTATGGACATGCTTTCAGTTCTGTTGAGTAGTGTTGAAATCTAGGACTGCAATTGTGGGACCATAGAGTAACCGTCTCTAAAGTTTGAAAAAGTGCCAGGCCGTTTTCCAAAGAGGCTGCACCATTTAACACTACCACTCACAATGTAGAAATGTCTCAGTTTCTCTACATCTTTGCCAATATTTGTTATTATCTGACTTTTTTAAATGAGGACTAGCCTAGTGAGTATGACTGGTGTTTTACAGTGATTATGACTTCTTAATGTACCCTGAGAATAAGCCTGTGGTTGTTTACCTTTGAGAGATTCTTGAATAACAAGCTTCTAAATTCTATGTATGTGGAAACACACACCTAATATAATATTGTGATAGTTTCTGCAGGGTTAGAGTTTCTTTCTTTTTTTTTTTTTGGCAGTACTGGGTTTGAACTCAGGACCTTACACTTGCTAGGCAGGTGCACTTTACCACTTAAGCCACTCTACCTGCCTGGCTTAGATTTTCTTACAAAGCTTCAACGTAAAAGTTGTCTCGTCTCTCTCTAGTAACTGGTAGGACTCTGAGGGGAAGGTAAGAGAAACTGAGAATAAAATCTGGGACTGGGTCTTTTGAATTTGATTCCTAGTAACCTTGGACAAAATGCAATGTAGATAATGGATACCCATTAAACATTTTTGAAATGAGTGAATATGCCTAAAGCACCCTGGATCCCTTCCATATATCCAAGTACTGCATAAAACTTAGAACTTGTAAACAGATGTCAGAGACATTGGCTCAGTGTTCCCATAGGATCTTGTTGAGTAGCCAAGACATAAACACACGAGCATGCGGGTGATAAAATAAGGTAATAAAGTTTGCCAAGAGGTACCACATGACAAATTTCAATACTACAAGAGGTGCTATGAGTTCAGTGATGAGAAATTAATTTGACTGGAATAATGCTAGAAAACAAACTAACAAGAACAACAAAAAAGACCAGAATATAAGTGTTCTTCTTTTAGTTAAACATTTTAATAAAGATGTGGTCCTGCTAAGTAGAGAGTGACCAAACTCCTTGACCAAACTCCAGTCAGGTGCTTCTGAGTCTTCCTAACTAGGCCTTAACCTTGGCCTATAAAAACTATAGATTCTCAGCAGAAATGTTTTGACCACTCACTCTACCCACATTAAAAGACTTAAACAAAGCACTGACATAGTTTCTAACAGTTAGGATGACCCTAACCCCCTTGCAGTGCCTGCTCAAGGCTGCCAAAAGAATGCACTGTCTTCTGGTCATCATCTGGGGTGGGCCCCTTACCATCCTTCCTTACAACACTTGCCAAACAAGGGCTTACATTTCTGAATCACTCCTTTGTCTGTTTGAGATGTTTATTATCTCCTACATCTCGGAACAACCTTTCTCAAGGACATGAAAGCCATCCTTTGAAATGTGCTCATTAGGAAGCATAGGCCCTCTGTCTCCCAGTCTGTATGGGAAGATAGAATTATAACTTCTATAATTGCCAGTTAGCACACACAGCTGCCTAATCATACTTACACTGACCAACTCTTTGTAGTTTTTCACTTCCCTGATTCTACTTAGACTTGGGTTGCTGCCCTCCCTACTTCCCCATTCTCCCTTCAAAATATGTAGTCCACCTTTGCACAAATCAAAGCTGAGTTCAGGTCATACTGAGCCCTCTTCCCTATTGCAACAGCAATATGGGAAGAAACACATTAAAAAGGATTTTCTTGAACAATAGCTCAGAACAGAGATGCTTCTGTTACAACAGAGTTTAAGTCTGTGAAGAATGAAAGAGAACCGAATCTGGCACTCCCTCGCCCTCCCACCACCAAGCATCTATCCCCTTTTTTATTTATTCTATGTGCATACAAGCTATCTATCCCTTTAACAAGCATCAGCTGCTTTAGGTTTTCTCTTGGTTCCTGCTACTTTAAGGTGTACCTGAGACCCAAACTCCTGGGCTTGGGCTGGCAGAGTGGCTCAAGTGATAAAGCACCTGCCTAGCAAGCTTGAAGCCCCGAGTCCAAACCCCAGTACTGCCAAAAAAACAAAAATATACCTGCAAGCTCCTGGGTTTCCACCTGTCAAGTCAGGCCACTCACCCCATATGCCAAATAAAGAAGCACGGTTAAAGGCAGAGAAAGGATATACCATAGGAAGAGGCAAAGAAAGCACTCATCCCATCTTCACCCATCTTCTGGGTACAGACATGAGATGCAGGTTTAAATAGACAAAGAACTGGGATTGGGGGTAGGTAGAGCTATGCATAGTTAAAGAGTTCCAGTCACAAAGTCACAGTGTGGCCTTATTCCAAAGGGGATCTCAAGAAGTTGTTTATTCAGAGTCATTGTCGCCTGGCAGGTGGACTGTCCTGAGGAGGCACTACTGTTAGCGGTAGTTCCTATCCCTTGTGATGAACATATTATCAGCTCAGTCCTTCCTGGAATTCAAGATGATTGCAAAGTGACTGCAAGGAGAGTGGCTTAGAGCAAAGACAAACACAAAACAAAGACAGAGATACCAAAATTTCTCATGCTTGTAGTTAATTGCGGGCCCAGTTAAGGAATCAGTACTTTTCAGCAAAAGCAGTTTAAGTACCTCTTACACTTTCTCCTATCAAAGACCAACTTCTCCTTTCTTCTCAACAATTTAGCTTTCATAATTACCCTTTTTCTCTTTTCTCCATCTCTGGTTTTGTCTATTTCTCCCCGACCATAGAATGAGAACCATCCCATCTAAGTATAAATATAGTTTTCAAAGAACTTTCCCTGTATCCCACATTACCCTCCAGCTCCTGATTCTCAGCAAAACTTCTTGACACGTCTGCCCACACGTGCTTCATCTTCTCACTTTGCAATCTCTTCAGTTCATCCAAATTGTACCTCCTTTCCCCTCTCCACTGCAATGGTTCTTGTCAAGGTAACCCATTCATTGCTCACTATTCTATCTTCATCTTTTCTGAAGTCTCAGCAGAACCCAATGTAGTGGAACAGAGCCCCCCATTGTTCCAAGTTCCCACAGTTCCCTTCCTTTTTTCCAACTTGCTTCTTATTCCTTAGTCTCCTTGTTTGTTTTCTCTCCTGCTGATCTTCTTCTTAATGTTGAATCTTTATATTCACTGTCCGGGTAGTTTCAACCAGTGTCATGACAGAAGGGCAGGTGGCTGTGAGGAAAGAGTTGTCTGATAGTTTTAAGTTGTTTTCTTTGCCACAGAGTAAACATCCTATCAACTTCACCAGTGGTAAAGTCTTCTGTTTGGGGGTTAGGAGAGTGTGTATATGGGTTTGTAGGTGGGTGTATTACTGTAGCAAGAAAGGGGAGGCCAGGAAAGAAACAGACAGGCTGGTGTTCTGACAATAAGACAGGGGGAGGGGTTGGCAAAACAGAGAGATAAAACTTAAAAAATTGAAACATGAAGGTCACATAGCACTAAGGAGATGAAATAACCAATGAAGTCACATGCAGCCATATGTGGACTGAGCTTTGCTTTTTACTTCTGTAACCTGCTTGCAAGGGTATATAAGGTGAGTCCCCTTTGTTCTCGGGGCTCAGCCTTTGGACACGAGTCCGCTGGTCTGTGCCGGCACAATAAACGTTGCTTCCTGCTAATCTGCCTCAGAGACTCCTATCTCAGCTCATAATTTCCCGCAACATTACAATTTGGATCTTAAATGTCCCCCCAAAGTTCATGTGTTGAAGGCTGTTCCCTCATTGATGGGCCTCCTGGGAGGTGGTGGAAACTTTAGGAGGTAGTGGATAGTTAGAAGAAGTTAGGTTATTAAGGGTATGGCCTTGAGGGTATATTAGGAACCTGGACCACTTCCTCTATTTCTCTTTGCTTCTCAGCCACCATGCGAGGAACAGTTTTCTCTGGCACATGCTTCCCACATGATGTTCTGCTATATCACAGGCCCAAAAGCAATGAGGCCAAGCAATCATGGTCTGAAACCTCTGAAACCATGAGGCAAAATAAATCTTTCCTTTCTTTTTTTTTCTTTCTTTCTTTTTTTTTTTTTGGTACTGGGGCTTGAACTCAGTGCCTTCACCTTAAGCCACTGCACCAGCCCTGTTTTTGTGAAGGGTTTTTCAAGATAGTGTCTTGCGGAACTGTTTGCCGAGGCTGGCTTCGCGAACCGTGATCCTCCTGAGCCACCTGTACCTGGCAATCTTTCCTTTCTTTAAGTTGATTTTCTCAGGTATTTTGTTATGGCAGCAGAAAGTTAACTACACAGTGTGTGAATTAAACTGAATAGTTCCTTTCAAGGTTTTATCATGTGGGTACTTACCACAGCATACATGAAGAGAAATGTCAGAATTTACAACAAAGTATAAGAGGCTAAGTGAGAGATAGATTTCAAAATGCTTGTTCCTTGGGAAACAGGAATTTTGACTAGAA